CAGTCTGATAGTGGGTCTTTTCATTAAAGGAGCACTATAGCTCTGTGTGCTTTGAAAAAAAACCAGTTTTCCAAAGCTGCAAATAGCAGCTTCAGCTTTTTCCTTTGATTTCAGCTTATTCTCACAGCAGCTTCCAAAATAAGCTTCTTTTTTTTTCAGTTTACCAAACACCTAAAACCCTAACAGCTTTTTTTTCATGGGTGTTTTTTTTTTAAGCACCTCACTCCCAAACCACCCCTAAGTAACATCTATCTTATGCCTTACTTTCAGGTAGCGGTGACAGAGGTTTTGGGAAGTGGTAAATTTTATGTTCAGACAGTTGGGGATCAGAAAATTGCCTCTATTCAGCAACAGCTTGCATCTTTGAATCTTCAAGAAGCTCCCGTAATTGGTGCTTATAATCCTAAGAAGGGTGACATTGTCCTTGCTCAGTTTAGTGCAGATAATTCTTGGAACAGAGCAATGGTGAGTTACAACCCTAAACATCAGTTTTATTTTCCGATTGTAATAAATTTTTAATCTTGAGTTATTTCAGTGCATTAGCATACATTTTTTCCCTTTCATCCCTTCCCTATTTAAAATAAATTGTTAATGTGTTATTTATATACTTCTGCTAGCAATTTTTCCAAGAAAAAGAGTGGCCGGATGATAAAAACATAGCCAGTTGATAATCATATTCCCTTGATGAACACTATATTTACCTCAAGTCTTTTGTTTCCAGGAAAAGTGATATTCTTATCATCTGGCATTAAATTATAGGTTTCTCTATATTCATAGAAGGCAAGTCTGTTGGTGTTACACACACATTTGACAGGAAGTGAACTATATGATGCAAATGAAATGAATTTCTTTTTCTGTGAAATCTTTATTCTTGTTTTACAATTGCTAGTTTTGATATAGTAAGTTTCACCAACGTTCAAAAGTAGCATGATAGTTTACATTTTCCTTGCACTACATTGCATCTGATTATGTGATTTGTACACTGAATGTTCTTCTATTCAGTCTTCAAAATTTTCAAATTTTTTAATATGTGTATGTCTTCATGCAAAGATTGTCAATGCACCTCGAGGAGCTGTGGAATCCCCTAAAGACAAGTTTGAAGTGTTCTATATGGATTATGGTAATCAAGAGGTTGTTCCTTACAGCCAGATACGGCCTCTTGACCCATCAGTTTCCTCTGCACCCGGTCTTGCTCAATTATGCAGCCTTGCATACGTCAAAGTCCCGGCCTTGGAGGAGGACTTTGGTCAAGAAGCAGCAGAGTATCTAAGTGAGCACACATTAAACAGTGCCAATGAATTTAGGGCCATGATTGAGGAAAGGGATCTTTCAGGGGGAAAAGTTAAGGGCCAGGGAACTGGACCAGTGCTTCTTGTAACTCTTGTTGCTGTGGATGCTGAGATCAGTGTGAACGCCGCCATGCTTCAGGTTTGAGTTGTAACCCTTTTTCCTAATTATGGTAGCTTTAAATCTCATCTTTTAAATTCTTTTCTACTGCCCTTTACAATCCTACCCATGATACACATACCACCGTTTTGCTCGAAATCAAAGGAAGGATTTATTAGTCTGTTCCAAATCAAACAAACAGAACCCTCATCATATATTAGTATATATTGCCTGTTCCAAATCTTTCAAACTTTATTTATGTCTTGCTGAATCTTCTTTGTTCAAATTTGTGGAATTTTCAGGAAGGACTTGCAAGGCTAGAGAAAATGAAGAAACGTGAAACCAAGGAGAGGAAGACGGCTATTGAGAACTTGGAAAAGTTCCAGGAAGAAGCGAGGACCGATAGGCGGGGGATGTGGCGCTACGGAGACATCCAGTCCGACGATGAGGACGTTCCTCCCGTCAGGAAAGCCGCAGCTGCTGGCAAGCGATGAATATACAGTAATACTGACGGACGCTCAGTTACAGTTGTGGGCATATATCATATGCTGTTTAGAGCAAGAGAGGAAAAGAAAGAAGAAAAAAGGAACTTTGTGTTGCAGTTAAGTTTTGTTTTCGGTCTTCGGATTGTCTGTATTTTTTAGATGAGAGGGAACGTGTTTTTTTTTTTTTTTTTTTAACAAAATTCGAATAAGGTAAACGTTTAATTAGACAATTTTGTATGTCGATCAGAAAGCTCAACATTTAATTAGTGTTTTTCATTTATTTATATATCGGGCATAAATTTCCATACTTTATGTTCTAAAGATGATTTCCTAAAGGCTTTTTAGCAAAAATGATTATTGAGATTAACATAACTCCTTAGGAGTGTACTATCCACACATCTTTTTTTTACTACTTCCACACCTCTTGTTAATTTATGTGCTTTGATCTTTTTCAATTTATCAAATCCGACGGTCAAAAATTAAAAGTATGTGAGAGAAGTAAAAAAAATGTGTGGATATTACATCCCACTCCTTATTTTGATTATTGAAATTGTCTACCGTTAATCATTTTGGTTCTTCTGTGAAAACTATCCGTTAAATTGAGAAACCCTCTGCTTGAACTGGCGATTTCTTTAATTTAACGAAAAATTTTCACAGAATCACATAGCCACGAAAATGATTGAGGAGGACAATCTCAGAGATCTCAGATACCAAAGTAATGTGTTATACAAATCTCAGCTAAAAGCTTTTATGCAGAGCAAACAGATTATCCATGATTCTGACTTCAAGTTTGGTTATTATGTGTATACAGATGACGGGATGGCTCTATTGGCACTCAAATTTTTTAACAACTTCCTTCGCAAGCAGAAGATCTTTAAAAACTCAACAATTTTATGTTTTATAAAATTTGTTACTCGCAAGGTTTTAATCGGCTTTGCAGACTTCTGCATATACCATCAAAGTCAAATGTGCAGCATAAGTTAGCAGGTTTATTAGACTTGGATTCTTTCCCTTCTCGTCCCTTCTTTTAATATAAACGATTCAAAAGAAATCTAATGATTTGAAGTTGTGTCACATGTTTAATGAGCTTTATTTTATTTATTTTTTATCGCTTTTGTTTAACAATTCTCTGTCTTCTCCACTCGGCCCCACACCACTATTTACCCTCCTACATACCAACTACCAAGTATGGTTCACGTCTCGGGTTGATTTTGACGCTGTAGTAGAACTTGGCAGTTATCTTGAAGGTTTCAGAGCTGCTGGGAAAGTCGAAGGAAATTCTTGAATTGTATTGTCCTTCTCATCAATTTGTTCAACAACTCTCATATACGTTACACAATAAGGAGGAGATGAGAGGGAAGATACATAGGAGGGGAGATAATTATTCCCCTTCCTCCCTTTAATTTTCCATTCGCAGCTGAAGTTTTGTAAGGAATAACTCACAAGACCCACCCAAACGTGAGATTTAGTCTCATTGAATTCATTTAGGTTTTTGAGTTTCTTCAGTTTGAGGGGTCAATATATCAACAAAAGATGCTCCTCCGAATTGAGAAAACGTGAGTTATTTCAGCAGAAGGTTCCCGAAAACATTGAGGAGAAACCTTACATAATAAGAATTCACTAGATATTACTCGACCCTAAAGAAATAAAAAAAAATAGAAAATACCATAAATAGTTGATATTCTTGCAAGTAATTAGGGCTTGCATCAGATATTCTACTACAAAATAAGACCAAGACATATGGATTTATAAATATAAATAGCATGATTAAGGGTAAATTACATAGTAGCCTTTCAGGTTTGAGGTCTATTACAATTTCATACAACATCTTTAAAACATTTCACTTTCATACCTCACGTATTATTTTATTTCAAAATAATACATCCGTTAGATTTTCCATCCATTGGTCTGTTAAATGCTGATGTGACTGCTATATTTATGCTGATGTGGTTGCCACGTGTTAAATTTATTATAATATTATAAGATTGTAGTCTCATTGAATTCATTTAGGTTTTGAGTTTCTTCAGTTTGAGGGGTTAGTATGTCAACAAAAGATGCTCCTCCACATTGAGAAAACGTGAGTTATTTCAGCAGAAGGTTCCCGAAAACATTGAGAAACCTTACATGATAAGGATTCACTAGATATCACTCGATCCTAAAGAAATTAAAAAAAAATAGAAAATACCATAAATAGTTGATATTCTTGCAAGTAATTAGGGCTTGCATCAGATATTCTACTGCAAAATAAGACCAAGACAAATGGATTTATAAATATAAATAGCATGATTAAATAGAGGAAAAAAAACATGTGGGTTAAGGTTGATGGCTAAGAGGAGAGTGCACCATCAACAACTTTTTTGCTTAAGGTCTTCCACAATATTAGACCTGAAACTTTGGGTTTACTTCTTCTAAATTAGAATCAAACTCACACAATTAACCGGAAAATTTGCGTCTTAACTCAAGAGTTTAATTGTTTAATGTAAAGTGAATAGTATCAGGATTGACTTTTTAATGTAAAAATGTAGTTTTTCATTAAAATGAACAGTACCTGGAGCTTTTCGTTAAAGTTCCCTTTATAAAATTCAATCAACCCGATCATTCCTATTGTATATCTGAAAAATCAAACTCAAATAAACCGTTGTGAAAACTACTAATTTGGACAATCGTAATTGAATGTATACTAGTAATTAATATGAGAACATTTTTATCAATGGAAAATAAAATCCTAATTATGTCACTACTTGTGCTACCTCTTGTACACCGAAATCAATAACATAGGACATTTAACAAAATTTTCCCTCCTTTTACTTTCCTCTTTTTTTTCTCTTTATAAAAATGACAGTATTAAATGTTGACATGCTTTAATTATGACCGTTTAAATAAAAAGAGATTAGAAGAGAGATAGATTTGCATATGAGAGAATCCTACTCTTTATACGTTTGGGGACGAAACTTTCCCGAAACCACTCATGTTTTTGGTTCTTTTTTTTTTTTCAATTTATTTAGTTGTGTTTAATAAATGGACCACTTCCAAATGGTCAATTTTGAACATATCTAAATTTGGCCAAAACACTAAACCAATTTTACTATATTAGATTAGAATATTGCTCAAAAAAGAAAAGGATCATGCTGTAAAAGCAATTGTTTGTTTTGGTCATTGGAAACTTGAAAGGAACTATCACAGCTTAATTAATGCGTCATTTACACACCTGATGCCTTTAACTGTTTCAACACAAAAGGCTAAAAAACACAAACAAATAAGAAAAAGAAAAATATTGCCAACGGTCAAGAATAACCTACAAAAACAAAACTAGGCTCAAAATTCGAAGATAATGGAAGTGATCGTCATCGGTAGCTTCCTCCCTCTTCTCCGCCTCAGTTTTCACGCCTGGTCGTCGACCTTCTGCGAGGAGCAGCGGCTCCTTCCTTCTCACTCTCAGATGAAGTACCTTCCTTCTCCTTTTCGTCTTCCTTTGCGGCTGCACTGCTTGAAGCGGCAGTGGCTCCGGTGGTTTTCTTCTCAACTCTTGCCTGCACAAAGAGAAAGCAACATTTAGCAACAAGCAACATCAGTAGCTACAACTACTTCTTTTGGTCTTTTTGAGGAGCTTCAGCACTCACAGGTTTCTTTCCGCCGAAGAGTAGCTTGACAAAGACAGTGAAGATGATCACCACAATCGCGACAAGGATGCCAACGGTGAGATTTGGTTGTTCCTCTGCCTTCTCGATGAGATCCTGCGCACCAAACAAGCTTGGATTTTAGATTGCGTTCAGGAAAATCACCCTCGAAAGGGATAATAAACGAAAGACTTATGACTTACAACGATCTTAGGCTTGTGGGAACTCAAGAAGGGAAGATCTGCGACTGTGTATAGGAGGTCAAATATTTTCTTCTGCAGGAAATAAAAATACGATTATCAGCAACTGTACCAAGTAACCGTCAAATAAATTCCATAAAGACAGCTGTATAGAATTGATAAGTTGCAAAGCGAAACATTTACCTGGACGGTGGCAAGGAACCCATCTGTGCCTTGAACATCTTCCTCTTCCTTCGACTTCTCTTTCTCAACTTCAAATTTTGGTTTCCAACCGGTCTCTCTGTATGTTTGTGCAACTTTCTCGTCCTTCGCTATCAAAATGTTGTCAAACAATATACCATCTTGCATCGTCCAGATCTCAATGCCGACAGCTGCGATAGGCTCAAAGTTGGGTTTGTCAGCTTCAAAGTAGCTGGGGTTTGGAATCTCCTGAGGCTTCCAGACACCCTTGTAACTGGGGTTATCGATAAGTGGGGCATGCCATTTTCCCTTGTAAGCTGGGTTCCTCTTCATTGGCTTCTTCCATTCACCACAACCAGGGGCGGTCACACACTTTGGGTTCTCGATCCTTGGGGCTTCCCATTCACCATCCTCCTCATCATCCCAGTCTTCTGGTTTCGTGGAATCAGGATCATCTATCTCCTCAGGCTCATCATCCAACCATCCTTCAGGTTTTTCTGCTTCTTCATCTACAATTTCCATTGGGGCATCCTCATCCCAGTCCTCTGGCTTTACAGCATTTGGGTCTTGAATCTTGGCTCTCTCATCCCAATCCTCAGGCTTCTTATCCTCTGGATCAGGGATTGTCTTGGTAGGAATAAGAGGTGGCATGAAATCATCAGCCGATAGGAAATTCGCCTTCTTCTTCTCTTCCCCATCAACCAGAATTACCAACTCGTTATTGGGTTTAAGAATGGCAGTGTACACATGAGTAAGTTTGTCAACTGGAACAGAGGGTGGAGTCGTCAAATGGTGTTCAACGTACTCTCCGCTCTTGGGGTTCTTGTGCTTGAAAATGAAGTGAACCTTGTTTGTGAGCCCACATTTGTCAGGTCCAAACATGATCGAATAAGGAGACTCATTGTCAAATATCTTAGGTTCCCAACCAGCCTCCTGAGGTCGAAGGTATTTCAGATAGGCACCACCACATTCAAGCCCGTTCTGGAGACGAGTCTCAAATTGGAGGACAATAGTTCCATCATTCAGACTCTCAGGCTTCTCAAGCTCCTTCACTATTGCGTACTTCTTGGCAGGCTCACTCACAAGAAGTCCGTAATCCTCATGTCCCTCGCTCTTTGAGTGACTCCACACACCTAAACCCAGATTAGACATCACCATAAGTTTGCAACTCAAAATACAGCAAGAAATGCACCCAAATCATGATCGACGAGCCAAAATTTATAAATTAGATAAGCAAGGGACATAAAATTCTTTATTTCTGTTATGATTCCAGGCCACTATGATTCACAAAAACTATACGATGCCCCAAGAACAAGACCCAAGCACACAATGAATATTTCGATTAAAACATACAGACCCATCACTGCTAACTATCTCATTATAAATCTAGAGGAATCAAAAGGTGCAATTTTCGCTTCAAAACATTTGTATTGTTGTTTAACTCCACTTAAATCTATTAGCTTAACAGTTTACAATACAACATTCTAAACTACCATAACCTACAGAGGGAGGGGGGTTCAAGCTCGAGTGCAAGGGGAACTCAGACACAAGTGCAAAGCGGCCACGGCATTGCACACAATGAATAATTCCATTAAAACAGACTCATCACTGAATACATCTAGAGGAATCAAATGGTGCAATTTTCGCATCGAAACATTTGTATCGTTGTTTAACTCCACTCAAATCTATTAGCTTAACAGTCTACAAAACAACATTCTAAACTACCATAATCTAAGGGGGAGGGTGATCCGACATCAGGTGCAAGGGGAACTCAAACACGAATGCAAAGCGGCAAAAGGCACACTGCCCTGGTCAACTGACATAACCCACATCTACGTTAACGCAATTATTCAAGTTCAACATACATGGAAACCATTAATATCATTCAGATCGATGGATCGATCATACACCGATCCAATAACTACAAACAAATACAAACATTCACACATATAAGATATCATCTTTTTTCTCTTAAATTAGAAAGAGAGAAAGAACGGACCTTGGTACTCTTCTTTGCTAGAAACGATCCATCGGCCTTCGAATGTGTCATCAAACGAATCGTAAAATACCTAAATTCACAAATGAATCGAAAATGGTAAGAACTTGGGATTCAAATCTGAGATTGAAAGCATGAAATTGCAATTACAAATGAGACGATTCGAATTACCGTATCGTCGGAAGCAGATAGCTGCTGAAATGCAAAGCAAGCTACCAGCATCAGCAGCACCGGAAGAACACCACCGCGAACCCTAACCATCTTTCTCTCTCTAAAACTCTCTTTCTCCTCTGTATCTCTCTCTCTCTCGTCGAAGTTCTTAGACAAGTCCGCCCTCTCTGGGAAAGAGTTCTGAGACTTGTACATATAGATCTGCACAACACTGCCTTCGACTTGCTTCGGCCAATCAGATCACGTGCCACGTTCAATGGACCAATGAGATCCCGCCACGTCAAAAACTTGACGCATCGTTGCGTCCCTTGCGAGTTTCGACCAACCTTTCGGTTCTGTTCTTTCTCGTGACTGGGCCGGGTCAAAAGTCCAGATGAGTGTTGACCCGACTAATTTGAAAATTCTCTGTTCTTTTTTGGTTTTATTGTACGATGAAATTTCACTATTGCTTTTTTAGGTCTCTATCTTTTAAAGAGTTTGGACGTCTTTTGATTTTGAGAAGATAAATATTAATATATTAAAAATTACGTAATGCATGAATATTTTTGTTTGAAGTGATAATATGGTAATTAATTAGGGTAATAATACGAGTAATGTTTTTTTTATTAAAACAATTGTAAGAGATTCAAGATCATTTTCTTTTTGTTTATCAATAAAAATCAAATAGATTGCATTTTTCAACTATTTTAACTAATCATATGATTTGATAATTACATGTAAATGATTGCTCATTATAATAATTGATGTAATAAGTAGCATCTAGCCATGTAATGTGGCCAATTTATAATTTTAAATTCAGCTCGATAAAATCTCCTAATAAGTAGACATAGTAAAGATAAGGAACATCAAATATGAACACAAGGTGACTTGCTTCTCTAAAAAGCACTTGCTCTTATAAGCGCTTTATCACTTGCTTCGCTCACTCGGTAGTATTCGTTTGTTTTGTTTGGTTAGTGGCGGGCAACGAACCTGCAATGCCGCAATGTCACTTCGAATCCTCGCACCAAAACCAAAACTAAAACGGCCGTCTCTGTTAGAAATTTGCAACGGAGACCTCGACCCCAGACAGTTCTACCAACTCCTCTCCCACGCCGTTACTTCCGGCGTCTTCGCCACCGACTCCGTCGTCTCCAGCAGGCTCCTCCTCCGCTCCCTCTCCCGCCGCCACCTCGAATTTTCCCGCGCCATCTTCTCCCAGATTCAAAACCCAAATATCTTCGCCTGCAACTTCATCTTCAAGGCCTTCTCCCACAGCTCCTCCCCGCAAGAAGCGGTCTTTCACTACAATCTCGTGCGACGTCGTTTTCCCCATGTGCTGCCGGATAACTACTCCTTCCCTTTCCTCTTCAAAGCATGCGGTCGTCTCAGTCTTCCCCACAAAGGCCAAGAGCTTCACTGTTTGGCCATGGCGCTAGGGCTCGAAACCGACGTCTTCGTTCAAAACGGCCTCGTTTCGATGTACTCCGCGTGTGGAATGCTTCACTGTGCCCGTAAAGTCTTCGACTTGCTTCCTGTTTCGGTTCGCGACGTGGTGTCTTGGAACAGCATTGTTTCTGGGTATGTCCAAAGCAATCGGAACTGGGACGCACTCCAGATGTTCGACGAAATGCTTGCATTTACAAGGCCCGATAATGTGACGTTGGTCAGTGCTCTCACTGCTTGTGGGAAGATGCGTTGTCTTCATTTGGGGAGGCAAATTCATGGGTTAGTGTTGGCAAGTGGGTTTGCTTTGGACGTCTTCTTGGGTTCGTCTTTGATTGACATGTATGCGAAATGTGGGCGCATGGATGATGCTCGAAAGGTTTTCGATAGAATTAGGAACAAAAATGTGGTGTGTTGGACTTCTATGATCGCTGGTTATACTCAGTCACGTTTGTTCAAGGATGCGATTGAATTGTTTAGGGAAATGCAATTAGATGGAGTTGAAGCAGACGCAGTAATGGTTGCTTGTGTGATATCAGCGTGCGGGCGTTCGGGTGCATTAGGCCATGGAAGATGGGTGCATACATACTGCGAAAGAATCGGCTTTTACACCAACATCTCCGTGAAGAATGCCTTGATTGACATGTATTCAAAGTGCGGAGACATTAAACGGGCTCTTGAAATTTTCCATGACATGAGCAACAGAGATGTATTTACATGGACTGCCATGATAACTGGTCTTGCTATGAACGGGGACTCTGTCGGAGCACTGGAAGTGTTTTCACAAATGGAAGCGAGTGATGTCAGGCCGAACGAGGTCTCATTCCTCGGCATCTTGTCAGCATGCGGTCATGGCGGGTTTGTGGATAAAGGTTTTCATTATTTCAGAGCCATGGCTGGAATATATAACCTCACTCCTCGCATTGAACACTACGGATGCATGGTGGATCTTCTTGGTCGAGCTAATCTGTTAAATGAAGCAGAGAAGTTCATCGGAGCTATGCCAATCCAACCTGATGTGGTTATATGGCGATCTCTGCTTTTTGCATGTAGGACTTATGGAAACATAGAATTGGCAGAGTTTGTAGCCAAAAAGATCGAGGAATTAGAACCAAGAAAGTTTGAGTCTCGCGTTTTGTTATCGAATCTATATGCTTCGGCATCAAGGTGGCATGAAGTGAGCACGATGAGGAAGGCTACGCCTCTTCAGGGTGCCCAGAAGCAGCCGGGTTGCTCTCTTATAGAAGTAGACGGTCTTGTTCATGAATTCATTGTCGCAGATTGTTCACATTGTCAAATTGATTCGATATACGAGACGCTTAGAGGAATGAACAAAGTCATACGATCAGAAAGATTTGATTAGGGAGTTTGGATGGTGCACAATTCTTATTGGAAAGTTGGCAACCGAACAGAAAGATTTGAGGTATTGATGATTAGTTCAAGGTAGATGACAGTGCCAAGAATGGCGGTAGTTGCTCGAATGCGAATTCCACTGTGTAATCCAGGATCATTAGGGAAAGAAGTAAGGGTTGCCTACTAAAGATTTGATGGCTGAGAGGCGCCGCCGGAAGAAGATCAACGACCACGATGGGATTAAAACCCTGGGATAAGGTTCATGGGTGTTCAAATTCACCACTTGAGATAACCTCAAGGGTAACTTACCAGTAAGTTACAGTTGAATTTACCAGTAAAGATGGGCTTAACCTCACAATGAGCTAGTGTGATTTAAAAATTCACCTTTAGTGAGAATCGAGACCTCTCACTTACAAGTGAAAAAAAATATCACTAGACCGTAGTATTAAGTGGGTGGCTCCCATAAGTTGTAGTTGAAATTGCATTATTGCGCACTAAATACAGTTGTAAGATTGCTTTACATTAGAATTTGATACTCTAAAATTCCGTTTGTGTTGTAAATAGTGGGTATGTATGCCCACATGCATATAGTAAGCCTTTCACTTTGTAGCTTGTGATTTGCTTCTATAAAGGCAAGTCTTATGGAACACACAAAAAAAAAAAAGGAGATGAATGTGAGTGAGGGACTCACGGGAGAGAGAGGAAGGAAAAGAAAGAAGGAAAAGAGAGGAAGGAAGAGGAAGAGGAGAAGAGATAATAGAGGGAGTTTTTTTTATACTCTTATTATTTCAGATTATAATGAAAGCATCATTGCTGCCCCGATGACGTACTCTAGTCACACTGACTGTAGAGGAACCTCGTAAATTTTGTATCTTGTTTATTTATTCTATTGGACACATCGTCGATTTTATAACACGTTATCATCACGAGAAGCTCTCGTGTCAGTGGAAAGCACAACGCCACAAATCATGTTCACCTCTGTCGCCTGAAATCTCACAGATAAGAAAATCTTTTCATTTCATCTTAAAATCTTTGTACTACTGATTTTCTTGAAGCAAATATATATATTGTTGTATGACTGTATATCATCCTTTGCAGAAGCAAAAGAGTACAAACTCAAAAAATTCGTAGAGAATCTAACAACCATGTAAACAGCCTCAGAACTCCAACGTGCAAACATCGGATTGAAATACTTTCTTCTTGAAAGTTGTTCATCCACTCAGTATCTACAACATATCAAAATTTCAGAAAACTTTAACGGTGCGATCGTCGCAGATGTCTGAAATACCAAACCAGTTTCCAATTTCCACAGAAAACTGGACAACCACCTTATGAGTACCACAACTCCATTTCTGTAGTTCAAATCAAAATTGTTTCTTCACAAAAGTTGTTTGGTATCCTCTTATCCATATCATACTAAAATTTGAACTAAATCTAACGGTTTGATCTTCTCATAAGTTGCAGACGCTCTTGACTCAACTTATGAGAACCGTTTCGACTTTTTCGAAACTCACCGGAGGAGGAACACCAATTGGAACTTATTGTTATTATTATTTACTGAGTAACCAAAATGACTTCAGAACTGTGAAATAAAAATAAAAATAAAAGGAATCAAACAAAAGAAGTGGCAGACCAAGAAAATGAAAAAGCAAAAGATGAGAACTTAATCATTGCATTTTCTGTTTTGGCACATTTATGTGAATAGTGTTGGATTAAAGCCCATGTCACAAGTTCTATTTATTTAAAGCAATTTATTTACAATGGGTAGAATTATTACCCTTTGCTTTAAAGCTTTGATATTTATGAGAATGGTGTTGAATCAAAACCCTTGTCACAAGTTTTATTTACTTTAAAGTAATTTATTTACCATGGAAGGTTTTACCGCCTACTGCTTTAAGTTTTGATTTATGTGAATGGTGCTTAATTAAAGTCATTGTCACAAGCTTTATTTACTTAAATGCAATTGATCCATTATGGCTGGAATTACCGCCTATTGCTTTAATTTATTTATTGTACTTATCTTTTGTTACGATGAGTATATACAGGACTTGAAGTTCCTTGATCAGATCAGAACCTACAGTTTCTTAATCCTCAACATATAAAAATGATTGGACCTGAAGTTCCATCATGCAAAAAGATCGGGCATGAAGTCCCTTGATCGTCAAGATCAAGACATGAAATTCCTTAATGAGTACCTTAAGTTTGAAGAGTCGAAGTGCCATAACTTAATTGTAATAAAAGCCATAAGAGTCTCAGTCTACAGACTATTAAATAAGGACCAGAAGTTCCTTATGTCCATACTCAAAATGGTTTAGCAGAAGCCTTTATTAAGCGGATGAAATTGATTACTCGCGCTCTGCACATGAAAACAAAATTGCCAGTTTTTACATGGGTACATGCTATTTTACATAATTCACTATTAAGTTCGGTTGAAA